CGCAACCTGAGACACCCACCTCCGACCGTAGTCAAGCTTTCCCAGGAGAAGGGAACTTTTTCAAAAGTGTCCACTCAGTAATTAACTGAGTGAACTTCAGTTAGAACTCATCTTGGTACTGATTCTGTAATTTTAGGAAACAGTGTGCAACTTTGGCTCATTGCCGGAAACAGTTGATTGCGGATAAAAAAGCACAGCCCAGTCACGGTTATTGTTTGATCATTGTGACACAAGAGGAATTTCAGTAACTTTGTGTTTGTTGTGTTGTAGATGACCTGAAATGCGTGGGGTGGGATGACACAATGATTTGTTCGAACAAATGCTGTGTTATCGAACTTGTCGTCCATCGTTTTCCTAAGCCACACCGGGATATGTTCGGCCACTCGGTGACGTAACTGCCTCTTTGTCCTGCCTATGTAGATGGCTGAGCATCCGCACTTGAATTGGTAAATACAGTTTGATTTGGCGGAAGGGGGCAATGGTTCTTTCACCGATGTCCGAATGGCATGATTTGGGCACAACATATACCCGTGGATCACTTCCTCACTTTATCATTGTTCAGGACCCCGTTCAACTGGGTAGACCGAGTCAAAAGACCGTAGACAGCAAAAAATGATAGAAAGGAACCATAGGTGAGTCTCTTTCCAACCGTTATTCCATGCCTTTGCATTGTATAGAACTGGATAGTTACCCGTTAAAGCTGACATCAGGTACTCGTTCACGCACTCAACTGTGCGTGTCTTGACGGATGAAATTCAGCACAGCACGCGCGCGGGGGAAATATAGCCATTCTGAAAATGGGACTTCGTATCAGGGGTGAATGTTGCATTTCTCAGTCATAGGTTTTCCGGTTGTGTATCAATTCCCATGGTGTTCGGTTACATTTACCATTATCCGCAGTGGCATTTTAAATAGCCGTTGAAGGGCGCATTCAAATCACGAAATTCGAATGCCTCCTCGCGGACGAGAAATCACATCTCGATCAGTTCCACTCACGCCTTAACAGTTGACAAGTTCAAATCGCTATCACTTCGGGTTCTCTCCGAACTAAGGCTCTCCAAAAGATGAATCTAATCCCTACTATGATGTTCTCAATCTTTATTCCTTTCACTCTTAACGTGTTATCCGAACAGAGTTTAGTTATTTTATTTAGGATGAAATGAACTATTTTTGTTTAAAACATGGCCACGGCCCCTTGCATGAAGGTTGATTGTATATTTGCATATTTATGAACGAAAAGGAAGTAAAATACATTTAACTATTGATTATTTTGTAAAGACTAAAGCATAATAAAGTCCACCGTAAGCCTCGAGTTGACCATCACCAGTGAACCAGAATAAGGGTAAACAACAACTCAAATCCTGTAGAGACACAGATGGCCGACCACAAAGGCTTTCCGCGCGAATGTACCCTAGCACATTATGATCTACTACAGCTCGATGTCGATAAATGTTTGAAACAAAACTTGGAAGCATGAGAGGAGATCGAATGGAAAACAAAGGAAAACTGTTTCAAAATGGTATATCGCATATCGGACTCACCAGGTAACCAATAAAGGAGAGATAGGCGAGGACTAGAAGGGCAATAGACAAATAGATGGCCCAGTGAGACGGTAATCGTGCTCGAACAACCACCGAGGCAAGGAATAGGTTAGTGGCGATCACAGTGCAGGAAAGCAGGTTGGCGAGGATGGTCATTGGGCTGGATGACCACCAATGGACATTATTGCGTTACGAAGGATAGTGTGGATAGGGTGGAGGGGAGGGAGTAGGTAGATGCCCAAATGAATGATAAAGATCATCACGATTGGTGAAGCAAAAACGATGAATGCATAAAACCTGACGATGGATGTCTGTGGGGTGATTCAATGTGCCGAATCATCCAAAGGGATCACTCCACTGCATGACCGGTCGGTGATACCACCGCAGCTTGCATGAAGCGGATCAGGTGTACATGGGTCATTGCGGTGCATGTGACTCGAGGTCAAAGGTCACATCGATAGCAGTAACTGTTCGGCCTAGCACTGTGGGTTACGCATGTAGATTGAGCGAGAAGCATTTTACAACTCGTTTGAGAGAAGTTTACATACAACAAGCTCATTTTCGAACCATTAAAGGAAACACCGAATTTAAGCGATGGAACGATTTGTATGGCGATTGTGAAAAGTTTGGTAGCCTCAGTGGGATTCGAACCCACGCATGGATGCCACCTACGCTTTGTACGCGCATGCTCTACCAGCTGAGCTATGAGGCCACACCGATAGCACTGATCTTAGTGATAGCCGACAGCTGTTCCGTCCTATTAGGGACTTGTTAGCAATGCATACCCTTAGTGTCTCCGTCAGGACTCGAACTGCAAACATTCAGGTAGGGAATTCAAATCCCTACCCTTGATCTACTCGGTCGATGGTCATCACCTTGTGCGAATGGTTGAAGCACTCACTGATCATCACATTGAGGTATGCACATAAGCCCTGGTTATGAATGAATACAGTTCTCCTGACACATAGATGTGCCCAGTAATTTTCAATAATCGTCAGGATACTCCGGGTTCCAAGAACAGGATTCCACAGAGCCCATATCAATAGGACGCATTTGTGGTATGCACATTGACTATTTTTTGTGAAAGATTGTTTGTAATGATCAACAATGAGCGCCGCACATCTGCGTTTCTGTTTCTTTTTTCCGTGTCGAGATTCTTCAGCGGTACACCGAAATGCGTGTCTCTATCACGATTCAAACCGCAGTCTTTTGAATTGGATAGCGCAAATCTTACCTCCGGGGGACATGGCCATATGAACTGAGAAGTGATCCTGGAAATTACATACGAATCCACGGATGCCAAGCACTGTGCATGCTTGCTCTAATTGCCACGTTCCTACCAAGAAGTAGTGGCACAACGATTGCTTTTCTCATGTGTTCAATAGGAAACAAGAGAATGTATTTCAGACTTAATGAGGGTTTTTCTTATGGCCTAGTTAAAGGGAAGATACTCCATCTACATGATTAGCTATACATTTCATTGAAAAGTGTGTCATCACAGTACCAACAAAGGAACATGTCTAAATTTCGGCAAAGGAAAATATTATTACTTCCCGGGAATGAAACTATCATCATGACCACCACAACCAAACGTTTGGCTTTACCCGATAAGTCGTCCAAGTCCCACTGCATCCAACAAGACAGAGTGTTCGGGTGACCCTTCATCAGTAGGATAATCCAGATAAGTAGTTGTGTCAGCCGTATTACCCGGTTGTTCACCAACGAGAGACGTTCGGAAGTTTGAATAAAGGCCATATTTTTGATACAAGAATGATGAGCAGTGAACTTCGAATTTCTACAAGTCAGTGCGATAAACTGCAAAATGAGTGAATCCTATGGTCATGAGAGCCCGTTGTTTCGTTTTGGGAGCTAACACTCCGATCCTGGAGGTATGGAGTATTAAACCACTGCGATAGATAAGGCATGGAGCTGCGTACAAGTGAAGCCACTTACCAACCGCGGTAGGGTTCAAGACTGGGGCCACAAAGCGTAGTTCATGTCAATGGTAGTGGCCCTATCCCTTTTATCTTTTGAGCGGCAAGCGCTGTGGGTATTGATTGGGATTAGGCGAGCTTGCATTTCGAGTGGAGTTGCACTTAACCGGAAAACCAAGCGAAACAAGCACCTTCAAAGAAGTGCTTCAGTAATTTTATACATCGGTTCCATCTGAACGCCTCGTCATTCCTGAATGATCAGGCCAACAAGTTGCGATACTGACCAGTTTCGGTGATAACAGCATTATATAGACAGAACAGGATGTGAACTGGGAAGTGAATCTTGGGCACAAGAGAGGCGAACAAATACAACAGTTACAGCGGCAAATCAGAACACCACCACCACCACCACCAACAACAACAACAAACACAATAACAGACCGGCAATCCGCTCACATGGAATTGGTGAACTCAGCCATGACCGACTTGCAACTGGTAAACGTCAAAAGTGGTATGATGGCGAAAGGAAGTTGAATACTCATTAGAACATTGAGAAAGTCGTTCATCCCGGTTAGATCCTCGATTCCTAGATGCATGCGTGAAGGAAACGAGAGAGAGATGAGTGATGAAAAGCCAAGGCCAAACCCAGGTAAATCCAGCCAACCAAGGTGGTGGATGTTATCGAAAGAATACCAATCGACTAAGCAGTCTTGTTTGATTTGACCTTGACTACTTAACGCTCCTAAGGATACTTGAAAAAAAATTAACAAGTAGACTGAAAGCTTCTGTTCGTTCTTATCTCTATGATGAAAAATAACCATTTTGAATAGGTAGTCACTTTAGCCGATCATGAACTAGCGGAAATTCCGAGCAGTTTTTTGGGGGTGGGGGGATAGAGTGAGATCGGAAATCCCGATGGGAGACCAAGGGAAATCATTTCATCTGCGATATTTTAACGACTTCAATAACGTTGTCTTAATTTCCTGCGTGCAAATTTGCTAAGTTTAGCGTGCTCTGTGCACTAACTTGAAGGTTATCTAGTGGTGGGCAATGTAAAACATGTACGGATTGCATTAACGGTAGAAGAAAAATGCCACATCTCTAACTATTGAACTGGTTTTCTCCAGGGATTTAAACCATCACCAACTCTAAACATACTCTAGATAAGGACAAAACCACTCACTACTCAATGCCATATCCTGGCGCGCTGAGCCACAAAGAACGGGAAACCCGTGAAATGTTGCGGTGATCCGGATGGTGAGGAGCCGATGAAAAAATAAGAATGACCATCTGAACCGAATTCGTGTAATGCATGCATCCGCTAACGTCAGGTAAGTAGTTCTATGACTAAGGTGGCCGCTGTACAGTGGCAGTGAAATCACCCTCGGCATTAAATACCATGGTCGCCATGCTGTTATTCATGCTGCACTGTTCTACGGCTACGAAACCTGAACTCTATGAAGTCAGGATACCGTAGGGTTGCAAAACTGGTCCTTTGTCAAGTTCTCTAAATCAGCTGAGGCGGCATTTTGTGCAATGAATAAGTAAGGAGACGTTGGTGTGATATTAGTAAATTCTCCATCCTCGTGCAAGAGTGCTTCTTGTGGTGATCTGACAGTATCCAACAATGATTCTAGACGGAACTGACCAAATACTTCTTTCTAATTCCTATGCTTACCAGGATCACCGCGTTGGTGAACAGTGGACGTGGATCATCGCCATCTGAAAAGACGTACACCGGTTAAGCTCCAGACCGGTCTATTGCGTTGGACAATAGCAGGGAAAAAAACGGTCATGATCTGCACCAATTTTTGCAACTGAATTTGTTTTCCAAACATGGATTTGAGTACTTTTACTATAAGTCAAGTTATTTGTTTACTAAGAGATCTGGATTAGAACCTCTACGCCTGACCGGCACGGGGACCCAATATCTACAGAGCTGACGCATCGTTTAGTGGGAGGTACAAGCACGAGGTAAACAAAAAGGATTTGGATTACAGTATGGTATTCCAAAATACAAAACGGTACGATTTTTAGTGGTTTCTTGTAGATACTTGATCTAAAGGTAACCAGATCCCCACCTGATGGATATATATAACCCAATTATATTAACTGCCAGTCGGAAAAGCAAGGTGATTGGGGAAAACAAAACTTTACCAAAAGTCTGGAATATCGAGAAAGTATAAAAACGTGACACGGTGTAACAACAAACCTCGGAAAACAGTGACCAGCAATGTGGGACAGATTGCAATCGAGCGAGTGACCAGCACCCGTTGCCAGCGTTTCCATTTCAAATTCAAAAATCCTTCCATCGCGAACTGACCGGAATAAGTTCCGGTCATTGTGGAGGACTGACCGGCGGCCAAAATTCCCACTGCCCAGATGTATAAAC